ATGGGTACACTACCCGACGCATCCCGGCGGCGAACATCCCGACGCTTCATGGTGAATATTTTTCCCCTACATCAAAATAAAATGATCGTCGAGTCAATAAAATCCCAATCCAGTCAGAATCATCTCATTATGAAGTCAGAGGCCTGGCCACGGGAAAATTTAGTTTTCTCACTTTTAGAACCCCCGCCCGTGAGTCACGATGCCCCCCAAGGGGGTAGAAGGTTGAGGACTCGGGTTTTTGCATATTATCAATACCGGGTCTTTTATTTTCGGTCACAAAACTTATCAAACCCGTAAATTCGTCTTCTTTTTCCACTTCCATCAGGTAAAACTATAGACGGAGAGGAGAGTCCAATTTTCCCGGGGATGAGAGCTGACTTGCGACGAGGCATGGTGAACAAGGGTGAATGAGCTGGCGTTCCCACAATGCTATGCAGGCGCCTAGATTTTTTGTTTATGGCGCACACCCACGGCGCAGACCCATTCTCTCACATGTAGGCCTATGAGCGCTTTCGCGCTAAATTTGACGGTGCTAGAATTTTGGCGTAGATCTACGGTTTGGACACTCACCGAAAAGCCGTAGATCTACGGGACGGACCCTGAAAGGGTTAATATTTAAAAATTTTCCTCCTTTACAATACTGTATTAGTATGTATAAAGATTGGAAAAAATTGAAATATTGCATAAATATGTCATTTTTTTCCTTCCTTTCAGGCACCAAGCAACTGATGAGTTAAAATTAGAAGTAGAGGACAGTGTACAAACAGAAAGAGAGAATCATATAACAAAGATACTGAAGTCATGTGCTGTGTTGAAACCAGAGTTTATGCAAGAAACTCATGTATCTCCATACTTCATTGGTAAAAAAAAGGCTAAGGAACAATGCAGAGTAAGTTTACTATTTATTGTAATGTATATTTTTATGAGCTAGTATAATTGCTCATTGTGAAACATCAACACAAGTTTATTGCACAAAAATTTTTCTTATGTACAACTTATATGAAATTACTGATGTGGAGCCAATAATTTACAGTATAATTGACTGGTAAGTCAATATGATTTAACACCCATGTTATTTTTCCCTTTCTTCTGACAAACAAAATACCCTCACACTCATCTTGTGAAATGAGGTACAAAGTGGTGGTGATAATTATTACATTAGGTTAATGGGACAATATGTACCTGCACATCTCGTGTTTAACACTGTGATAATCTTTTGGAAACTGAATTATTCATCTAAAGTTCAAAACTTGCTTTCAAATATCAATACAGGGAAGTCTGGCTAAACTGGAAGACTTAAGGTCTTTCATTGAATAATACTCTGAGCATTAATATCTCTCTCCCTCCTTGAGAGTGCAGGCACTGTACCTCCCACCTCCACCCCTTTGTGAGAGTACAGGCACTGTGCCTCCCACCTCCACCCCTCTGTGAGAGTGCAGGCACTGTACCTCCCACCTCCACCCTTTTGTGAGAGTACAGGCACTGTGCCTCCCACCTTCACCTCTCTGTGAAAGTGCAGACACTGTATCCCCCACCTCCACCCCTCTGTGAGAGTGCAGACACTGTACCTCCCACCTCTGCCCCCTCCTTGAGAGTGCAGGCACTGTACCTCCCACCTCCACCCTTTTGTGAGAGTTCAGGCACTGTACCTCCCACCTCCACCCCTCCAGAGTGCAGGCACTATACTTCCCACCCAATCCCTTCTTCAGTTTTAACATGAGGGAAGTCAGCATATAAAAAAAGGAGCCACTTTGTATATTGATAACATAATTGTATATTCATTATACTTCCTAGACTATTTTAAGCTATGATTTTACAATAATTACATACATTATTTTGTATTTGAAATAAAAAGACAGAAGTATAGTTTAACAATGAGCACAGCTGAAAGAGAGAGAGAAAAAAAGAAGCAGTGAATGTGCTCAGGATTGACTGCTTCTCCTGCTCTCCCCCATAGCTACACCACTGCTGCCATTTGTTTGCAGTCCCTGTGTTGAAATGGTTCCTCCTAAATTTCTGACTTGTAAATGAATATAAATGATAGATGAATGTTTTGAAAGAATGAATTGAGGGTGGTATTACAATGGCTTATTTTTTTTTTTTTTAACAAAACTGGCTGTATCCCACAGAGGCTGGGTGACCTAAAAGGAAGAGAGAGTTTTTCTTTTTAAATTTAGTAATTTATATAGGAGAAGGGGTTAGTAGCTCCTTGTTCCAGGCATTTTAGTCACCTCTTATGAGACACAAGACTTATGGAGGAAGAATTCTTTTCCACTTTCCTATAGCTAATTATAAGTGGGAAATAAGCTTTTGAGATAGTTTCTGCTGTTTTTATATAGCTTTAAAAATTTTAATAATATATTTTAATTGCAGCGGGAACGTGAGAAGACGAAGGGCCCAGGATGGTTTAATATGAAAGCTCCTGAGTTGACAGAGGAAGTAAAGAGAGATCTGGAGGTGTTACAGATGCGCTCTGTTCTTGATCCCAAGAGGCACTTCAAGAGCACTGATATGAAGGTTTGTTATATTCATAGGACACCCATAGGCATCATATGAGGTGCTATCCAAAAAGTTCCTAGACTGCAATGAAAAAAATATATAGGCTTATTTAATCACCTAATTGAAGTTTTCTTCCTGCACACTGATCCCAGTGCCTCTGCCACTTCTCAAAACCTTTCTGGAACTCTTCTTCCCTAATGGCGTCTAGAGCAGTCTGCGATTCTGCTTGACTCTCTATGTCGTTAACGTGCTGTCCCTTCAGTGCTATTTTAAATTTATGAGAAGAGACAGTGATCTCAGGGGGCTAGATCTGAGGAATAGGGAGGGTGGGGGATGACTTTTTTTTTTTGCCAGAAAATGATGCCTTGAGTCAGTATGCAAGGCACAGATGTTGTAGCCACTCACCTCATGTTCAAATTTTCAGTCAAAACGTTTTAACATGACCCATAAGAAATTCTCACAGCACTTTAAATGTCCTGGATAAGTTAATTATGAGCTTCATGGATAACCTTCCTTGCTTTTTCATTGTTGGTGTTTGTTTTTGACATTGATGGACAATCAGAGCATTTTCTTCCTCATCTGATGTCCTGTTTTGAATTGAGAAACCTTTGAAAACACTGTATCTGACCCATTGCTTTCTCGTCAAATGATTCCTGAAACATTTTGCGAGTTTCACTGAACTTGAAACAGATTCACACAGGCACTGTTTTTTTTTTTTTTTTTTTTTTTTAAAGATTCCATTGTTACACAAACAAATAGCAGCAGTGCACTGATGTGAAAAAAATACTCTTCTAACAATGGAATGACCAATCACACTGAAGCTCACCATGCTACTTCACAAAGGGATGTACTGCACAGAGTGCTCTACACCTCTGCCATATTTCACCCAGAAAGTATACAAAAATTTGAATCAGGGAACCTTCTGATAGCACCTTGTACAACTGGGTAATGGGTGGTAATCAGGTTTAACCAAAGGAAGGGGAAGATTGTGTAACTCCAATTCCTTGGATCAAGGGCCCTTCACCTGCTTCAAGGTAACCTCCTTCCTATTAAGGGATTGTTTCATGCTGATGGTTTAAATAATCTTAATATATAAATTCAATGATCTTTCATAATAATTCAAGACACTTGAAGTCAAGCTCTTGTTTATCCACTGGATGGAAATTTTTGCTTATGGTAAATAAGGTTTCTAAATACAGTATTGATCAAAAGTGATAGGGAATTTTATAGAACAGTTTCTGAAGCTATAAATAATTAATGTGTACAGTTTTACAGTTAGTACATATTTTTCAAGTTATCTGTTTTAATTTGTTAAAAATAAATGTTATGTAATTCTATAATACATGTGTACAAACAGCGATATAACAAAAGTTCTCTCCATAGGTGCTGCCTAAGTATTTCCACCTGGGTCGTGTGGTAGATAATCCCATTGAATTTTATTCCTCCCGAATTCCGAAGAAAGAGCGGAAACGAACCCTTGCTGAAGAAATTATTCATGATGAGGAAGCTCTACGGTAAGTAAATAGTAGTTAAGTATAAGAATTTGGAAATGAGGTTATATTAAGCCTAAGTCAAAACATTTCAAATACGAAAAGAAAAATAGTAGATTTAACAGTTTTCTTCAAAATTAAAATTACTGTATTTTAGGGTGTCGAAGATGCTATTTTTTCTTCAAAACGAGTTTTGAAAATTTGCCCAGCGTCTTGGAGGCTGAGGTACCATTTGGCTAAATTTAAAAAAAAAAAAAAAAAAAAAAAAAAAATAAAAATAAATTAAATAAATAAAAAAATAATCAGAATTGCTGGGGGACATCCTCGATACTGGAGCATTTTGTTTGTCTTATTTACCATATGATAAGTTTGGAAGAAGCAGAGTAAAGTGATGGGTTTTAAGTATTGGATCAAAAACATCAGTTAGGAAGAGCAGAGAAAAATGAACTATATATAGAGATGCAGGTAGAAAAGCGAGTGTAGGGTGCTGAAGGGAAGAATGAAAGGAAAGGAATGGGCTGCAAGAAAAAAAATTGTAACCGGACCAGCAGGACAATGTGAAGGGTAAAGAATGAATTCAGGCAGAAGGAAATGTGGGGTGCAATACTTTGGTATCTTAATTGTGGAGATGTTTCACCATCCAGTGGTTTTATCAGTCCATTACTGTGCAGAGAATAAACAGTGGAAGATCTGAAGTAGTAATTTGGTGATCAGTCCCTCAACATTGATAAATCTTAAACAGATGTAGTGCAACACTTAAGGATGGCATCAAAGCCTACTAGTGGAAGTAGATCATGTCAATACCTTGTCTTCTTGGTACACTGAATTCATCTACAACTTTTCTGTAATGCCCTAACCTATTGGCATGACCTACTTCTGCTAGTGCACTCTGCCCACCTGTAGTGCCATCTTCAACTACTTCACCTTGCCAGTCTCTAGTATATGTTTGCATCCTTGTGCTACTGCTTTAGATTTATCAAGGCTGAGGGATGAAAACTTATCAGGGTTAGACAGTCACCTTAAATTATATCTTCATTTCTTCTCTGTATTGGATTGATAAAGCCACTAGTTATTGAAACTTCTCCACAGTAAAGATTCTCAAGTGTTGCATATGTATTACTCATTTTTTTGCCAGTTTTACATACCATTACAATAATGGAAGGAATTGCATAAGAGGGAAGCAGTTCACATTTCCTATTCACTCATATTCCCATCCTCTCCTGTCAACTGCCATCTTGTCTTGCCTTCCTGCACCCTTATCTTTTCCTCCCTTTCTTGCACCCTACCTTTTATTTTTCTCACTGTCCTGTTCCACCTCTCCACATCAACTTCCTTTCCTCCTCCTCACTCCTTTAGTTCCCATTCTTTCTCTAACTCTTCTCTTTTACCCTTGTTTTGTTCCTCTTCCCTTTTCTCTCCTGCCTTCATTCTCCTCCATCTTTCCCCTATCACCTTCTCCCACCTTACCTTTTCAGCTCATATTTCTTTTCTGCACTCCTTCCTTTTCCCTATACCCACTTCCTTCACTTATCACTTGGCCTCCTATTTCTCTTTCTTTGTTTAGTCCTTCATATTGTTAATAATATAACTTTGTTTTTTCCAGTTACCAGAAACGTAAATACACTGAGATAATAGCAGCCAAACACAAGAAGTTACTGAGACACCAAGAGCAACACAAGAAGACAGACAAGAAAGCACACAAGAAGGCAGATAAGAGCAAGTCAAAATGATCTCAATGATTGTTTGCAGCATAGTAGTAGTAGCCTTAGTCTATCATTACTTTTATAAATATATATATACTGCAAAAACTTGAATATAATTAACCTGCATTGACAAAACAATTATGTGTGTATTTTGCTTACAAGTCCCTGGAAATATATTATTGATGGCATACAATACTGACAGGTGATGAATATAAGATGTGTACAACAATAGGGTAGCTTTATTGCAGAAACAAGCAATAAAGTTTGAACTGAAGGTTTCTTCAACTGAATGCAGAAGAATATAACACTAGACACAGCAGTCACACTAGTTTTGAGACAATCAGTCCCTCAGTGAAGGCAGAATCATATGGCTGCATGCCTCTGCTTGAGAGAATAACCATCACTTATCAAGGCTGAGGAACTGATCACCTTAAAACTACTGCTGTTTCCACTGTTGTTATATATGTTTGAATGAAGAAGCCTGTTGAGGAGGTGAAACATTTTGGCAATGAGACACCTGTGTTGCATGTCTCCTATTCATCAAATTGTTTTCCAGCAATGTTGACAATATATACATCTCAGTTTTACTCCTTTTCCATGTAAATGATATGGAGGGAGTTTCAGGCCTAACTTATTCATTATAGCAAGTTTATATTTATAAAAAGTGGGAAGAGGCAATGAAGAGAGATTACATATTGAAAGGTTAAAAACACAGGTACAGAACACTGATGGGACAGAAATAGTGATGCATAATAAACATAAGAAACATGTCTACAGCAAGAGACAAATTGGTAAACACGTTAAAAAAAATATAGGGGCAGATAGGAAGACTCGGAAAACATTGCCACAGAAAAAGTCTAGATGTGATGTGGTCAATGTGCAATCCAAAAAAAAGTATCGCTATTCCATGAGCCCAGAACTCCACCTCAATGACCACAAAAGAGACAGTACATGGTGGAGAAAAAAATCTAATACAGCAAAATATTTTTTTTTTAATACATCGGCCGTTTCCCACCAAGGCAGGGTGACCCAAAAAGAAAGGTGGGGTGGGGGTCATCCTAGGAAAGGATGGAGGGAGGGGGTACAGGTGGTTTTGTGTGCAAGGGGTTTGGACATACAGTAGGCATGTGGGAGCATGTTAGGAGTGGAGACAAATGGTTTTTGGAACTTGGAGTATAAAAATTACAATTATAATCATAACTAAAGTGCTAAAGCAACAAGGAGTCATTGGAGTAATATTTTGTGTAAGGATTCAGGAAAACTGGTTAGTTGGACTAGAGTCCTGGGCTGGAAAGTAGACAGTAGAACACTGGTAAAAAATTACAAACCAGTAGTACTAACATTATACAAAGAGTATACCTGAAGGGTTGTTTTGACTTCATAGTGGCTCAGGGCCTGATCAACCAGGCTGTTACTGTTGGCCACACATAAACTGATGTGCGAGCCACAGCCCGGCTGGTCAGGTATTGACTTTGGGTGCCTGTCCAGTGCCTTCTTGAAGACAGCCAGGGGTCTACTGGTAATCCCCTTTATGTATGCTGGGAAGCAGATGAACAGTCTTGGGCCTGTGACACTTATTGTGAAGGTATGCCAAATTACAAACTTAATGGGGAAAGACATGATCTGCATAACCAACATGGATTTGTAGCAAGGTCATGTTTGTTGCAACTACTAGACCACTACAATGAAATTATGGAAATGCAGATATGGTCTACATGGATTTTGCAAAGGCATTTGACAAATGCAATCATGGAGTGATAGCATGTAAAATGAGGTCAACAGATGTAACGGAAAAAGTAGGCAAATGGATATTCAACTGTAATGAATAAAACACAAAGAATAGTAGAACTAGCCTTAGTACAGTAAGAATGCTCAGTACCTCAGGGTATTGTCCTGGTGCCTTCACTGTTTTTCATCTTCATAGCAGACAGATACAAAGACCAGCCACAGCATTGTACCATCATTGGCAGATGATACAAAAATAAGCATGAAAGTCACCCTGGCAGATGATATAGAAAAATTGCATGAGGATATTAGCAGTCTTTCAGTGGGCAGTACAAAATAACATATTCAATGGTAACAAATTCAAACTGCTAAGATATAGAAAGAATGGAAAGATAAAAAGGCTCACTTCTACACAAAACACAGCAGGACCACTTAATATAATGTAAGGAACATGTGAAAGACTTGTGTATTGTTTCAGCGCTGTATTACCCTTATGGGTTTAGCACTTAGTTATGATTATAATAATGATTGTGTAATGTTTGCTGACCTACCTCTTAAGAGAATGCAATAAGGCAAATGTTGCAAAAGCCTGAAAAATCATGGGACAAATAATGAAAACTTCAAAAATGGGAAATAATGCCAATGGTGAAACTATTCAAATAATTTGTGCTCTTGCTCAGAGTACTGTTCAGTGTTGATGACTGTTCAAGGAAGGAGAAATATCAGATAGAAAAGCTACAGAAATCATTTACCACATGAAGAGAGCCAATAGTGCATTTAAATTACTGGGAACTCCTCAAGGTGCTGAATATATATACACATTCTGGAGCAGAAGAAGAGATACATGAAAATATACATACTTAAAATAATTTCTTGATTATTTTAATTTAAACTTTCTAAATCTAATATACTACTGTGAATGTGTAGACATTACTTAACAGACATGAACATATATTCAAAGAATATTTAGATAACATAAATATCTAAACTGTACAAACAGCACAATAAATATATTAATCTTATAAACTGAAAAATAAATGACAAGAACATTTAAATGCCCATTCTAATAAATTATTATAATACTGTTGTTATAATTTATTTTATTTCAGCTAACACTCAACTTAGTTTGTCGATGAGATACTTTCAATATTAAGGATATGACATGTGTCCCACACTCGTTTTATGAACATCATATTAATACAAGAGCAACAATAGCCTGATTGATCAGGTGATTTCCACTAAACCCATTCATAAGTGTAGTGGCTGTCAAGCACTGACCTTATTCTCTACTTCTATGATTAGTTGTGGAATTGTAAAAGCTAATACCCAGTATCCACATTTATTATTTTAGTACTCAATACTGTCTTTCAATAACATTTACTATAATTAAAAATGTAAACTGGTACAGGTGGTATAAATCCCCACACAATATAAAGAAGAGAGACAAGATGTGTGGAAACTTCATCAACAAGAAGATATTTTGCTTGGTGTCCAAGCTTGGGCAAGATTTCATAAAGCTTGCTGTCCAAGCTTTATTAAGATTTTATAAAGTTGGGGCCCAAGCGAATGTCATCTGTTAACAACACTTCCACGCTACTCCTGTCTTCTTTACCTACACAAGCTTTAAATTACAACTCTTGCATTCTTTAACACTGTCACAATCCATACTTCATAAGAGTACAATACAATATACAGTGGTACTTTGGGACACAAATTTTTTTTGTTTCAGAAGGCTGTTCGAGTGCCGACACCGAATGAATTTGTTCCCATAAGGAATATGTAAATCAGATTAATCCATTTCAGACCGCCAAAAATACACTTACAAAAGCACTTACATAAATATTCGAGTTTAGAGCTGTTCGTATCCTGAGGTACCACTATTTTATGCTGTCCAGTGTCTGACTAGAAAATGACAACAGAAGACCTAACATGGTAACTAATAGATCATGCTTGCAGGATTTATCTAAAATGTTTTATCACTGCAATTTATTTTTCACTCACTTATACTGCTCAGTGCTACAGTTTTGTATGCTGTGTTATGTTTTGGTTTAAATTCATCTTTATGCATCAATTCATGCAATAACCTTAATCTAAAGTATATGTACATGTGCTACACAATGATATTTGTTTAGAAGAATAAACAACACAAATCTGACACAAACTACACTAATATGCATGAGGGTGAAGTACTAACTCGTATAAGAAATAAATATAGGGTGTGGATTCTTTATAACCTACCGAGTTTCTTAAAAACTAATGATCATATATTGTTTATTCTTGCCTATAGTAAACGATATTACATTACTCTCATTTGTAAATATAATGACGTGTTAGCAATTAATGACAGTTACTGTTGACTAACAAATAGCCAGAATTTATATTTGTATTACAACTGTGAAACTTGTGTAGACTATGAGGTACACAATGGTAGACCATGAAGCAAGGTAGCTGAGTCTCAGGTAAGAATAATGGGCCTCTGAGGATGGATCTTTAATAATTGGCAAAATTTTTACCTAGAAAAACTGTATTTTATTTTAAAAATGAAAGAAAGCCTTCTGCTAACATATTTAAGAATATTATTAAAATCATATATTTTTAATTATGGTAATAGGTAAAATTGACAATAACTAGCATGCCCAGTACAGCATCAAGGCCACTTAGCATCACAGTTACAATGACTCAACCAAACTGGCCACTTCTCACAAAACAATATGATGGCAGCATTTGTTTTTATATATTATTATTATTATTACTATTATTATTATTATTATTATTATTATTATTATTATTATTATTATTATTATTACCAGTCAAGTTACTTTTATTTCTTGTTCATAAGATTTCCTTCACCTCTATGTCTCCTTACACTGAGAATTCTCACACTTCTCGGTTTTGCTACTTGCATCCTTGCTCAAAATAAGAAATAATAATGAAAAAAATGCTATTATTTCTGTATTATTACATTGTTGTCACAAAATATGCATCAAGCCAATACTTGTAATTTTTTCCCACTCTAGCCACCTGCCATCAAGGTAGGGTGACCCATAAATGAAATATTCACCATCATTCATTCAGCAGCTGTGTTGCCACAAGTGGCACAAACATCACAATTCAAATGACCTCTGCAATTCTACATCACCCCTCCTTCAGAGTGCAGGCTAATTGGTTTCCTTGAATCTCTTCATAAGTGTCACCTGCTCACACACCAACAGCATATCAATTCTAAAAACTACTTGTCTCCACTCACTCCTATATAACATGCTGACATACACACCTATTGGATATTTAAGGCCCTATCACTGAAAACCTTAACATCCTCCATCCAACCCTTCTGGGGTCACCCCTACCCCTCTTCCTTTCAACCCTGGATTACACCTTGGTAATTTTAGTCTCTTCCATTGTCTCTAAAAGCCTAATTTGCCTTAACTTCTTTTCCACCCAGTGAATTGTACCTTTCTTAACCCCACACAGTCTTTCTTGAGCCTCCTCATTATTATCATCATTATTATTGCTGCACTATACTCTGGTGCAATCCCACATTTGTTTCTAGAAGTGGGGCCAGGAGCTAAGAATCAACCCCCTGCAGCCATATAGAGGTGGGTACTTCACCTACCTTTTCACCCCCTCATCTAGTCTATAGTTCACTTAATTTTTTATGGATCCATCTGCCAACTTTGCCCATCCCCCAATTAAATAATTTTATATGGTTTTGCTTTATGTGAATTATTATGTCAATTGGTAATTTCAAACATGTGATATACATTCACCATATGCAACTGGAGCTGGTCACATAGCATAACAAAGATTCTTAGTATGCAGAATTGTTTATGGCATTTTCTAAATCTATAAATACAGCAAATACTTCCTTTGTATAAAGGCAAAGGGGATAAAAGAGAGTGCAAAAATTATAGGGGGATAAGTCTGTTGAGTGTACCTGGTAAAGTGTATGGTAGAGTTATAATTGAAAGAATTAAGAGTAAGACGGAGAATAGGATAGCAGATGAACAAGGAGGCTTTAGGAAAGGTAGGGGGTGTGTGGACCAGGTGTTTACAGTGAAACATATAAGTGAACAGTATTTAGATAAGGCTAAAGAGGTCTTTGTGGCATTTATGGATTTGGAAAGGCGTAGGGACAGGGTGGATAGGGGGGCAATGTGGCAGATGTTGAAAGGTGTATGGTGTAGAGGTAGGTTACTGAAGCAGTGAAGATTTTTAAACGAGGATAGTGAGGCTCAAGTTAGAGTATGTAGGAAAAGAGGAAATTTTTTCCCAGTAAAAGTAGGCCTTAGACAAGGATTGTTGATGTCACCCGTGGTTGTTTAATATATTTATAGATGGGGTTGTAAGAGAAGTAAATGCGAGGGTCTTTGGGAAGAGGCGTGGAGTTAAAAGATAAAGAATCACACACAAAGTGGGAGTTGTCACAGCTGCTCTTTGCTGATGACACTGTGCTCTTGGGAGATTCTGAAGAGAAGTTGCAGAGATTGGTGGATGAATTGGTAGGGTGTGCAAAAGAAGAAAATTAAAGGTGAATACAGGAAAGAGTAAGGTTATGAGGATAACAAAAAGATTAGGGGATGAAAGATTGAATATCAGATTGGAGGGAGAGAGTATGGAGGAGGTGAACGTATTCAGATATTTGGGAGTGGACGTGTCAGCGGGTGGTCTATGAAAGATGAGGTGAATCATAGAATTGATGAGGAAAAGAGTGAGTGGGGCACTTAGGGGTCTGTGGAGACAAAGAACTTTTTCCTTGGAGGCAAAGGGGGAATGTATGAGAGTATGTTTTTACCAACGCTCTTTTATGGTGTGAAGCGTGGGTGATGAATTTGCAGCGAGGAGAAGGGGTGGAGGCAGTGGAGATGTCATGTCTGAGGGCAATGTGTGGTGTGAATATAATGCAGAGAATTCGTAGTTTGGGAAATTAGGAGAGGTGCGGGATTACCAAAACTTTGTCCAAGGGCTGAGGAAGGGTTGTTGAGGTGGTTCGGACATGTAGAGAGAATGGAGCGAAACAGAATGACTTCAAGAGTGTTCAGTCTGTAGTTGAAGGAAGGCGGGGGAGGGGTCGGCCTAGGAAGGGTTGGAGGGGGGGGGTAAAGGAGGTTTTGTGTGCGAGGGGCTTGGACTTCCAGCAGGCATGCGTGAGCGTGTTTGATAGGAGTGAATGGAGACAAAGGGTTTTTAATACTTGACGTGCTGTTGGAGTGTGAGCAAAGTAACATTTATGAAGGGATTCAGGGAAACCGGCAGGCCGGACTTGAGTCCTGGAGATGGGAAGTACAGTGCCTGCACTCTGAAGGAGGGGTGTTAATGTTGCAGTTTAAAAACTGTAGTGTAAAGCACCCTTCTGGCAAGACAGTGATGGAGTGAATGATGGTGAAAGTTTTTCTTTTTCGGGCCACCCTGCCTTGGTGGGAATCGGCCGGTGTGATAAAAAAAAAAAAAAAAAAAAAAAAACTTCTTTACATTTAAGGATTATTTATTTATATGCCTAAATGAAAACACTTGATCTAGGCATACCCTTCCCTTTCTAAATCCTCCTTTTTCATCTTTTTGATAATAATTACACTCCACTTTACCCAGTATACTCAAAAAACTTATTCCCCCTATAATTTTTATACATTCTCTTGCTCTCTTTCTCCTTATACAAAGGAACTATGAATGCTCTATGCCAATCCTTAGGTATCTCCTACCATTTCATGCATGTATTGAACAAATACACAAATCACTCCAAAACTATATTCCCACCTGCTTTTACCATCTCAGTCTTTTAATCCTTTCAGGGTCAAAAGGCCCTCTCCTAAACTTGTTCTCAGGGTCGAAATTTTTTTTAGAAAAAAAAATTATTTTTCCTTATGAAATGATAGAGAATCTTTTCCCGATCATAATGACACCAAAAGTATGAAATTTGATAGAAACTTGCGGAATTATGCTCTCGCGAAGTTAGGCAGTCTCGACAATGTTTACGCATCGGCAATTTCGCCCACTTTGAGCCCTATTTTCAGCCAATTCTAGTGTACTAGTCAACAAAAATCATAACTATTTTGCTAGAGCTCCATTTTTCTATCAAATGAGTACAAGAAACCACCCATTTACCAATTTCAACTATCCAATACATAAAGTGGTCAGAAATTGGCAATTTTGCCAATTTCACACAAATTTCAAAAGATGCCAATTTCCAAATAGGGTCCAGAATAAACAAGGCAGACATTCCTGGCACTAAAATAACATTTCCTCTGTTCATTAGTCACGTCCCCAGGCCCCTCTTACATTTCTTTTGCTTTCCACTTTGAATTTTTATTCTCACAAAAAATAGAAGATTTACTGTTATGCAGACTACTGCATTAGCATAAAGATGGTATAAATAATATCAGCACACTTGTGAAAGAATATTAGATTCACCAGTTGACGTGTATTGGACACGTGGCATGATTTGTTTACTTTTGAATTTTGGCAAAAATCGAACATTTCTGCTACTTTGAGCTCAATTTCAAGGTACTTTTCATTGTGAAACCAAATCATCTCAATTTTTGTAATATGTCTTCCATTCTATAAAATGAGACCAGGAAAACTAGAATATAACCATAAATACCATACAAAAATACAGTGCAAAGTCGCTGTTTTAAACCAAAAACATAGTGAAAGTTTTTTTTTCTCATTATGCACTGTGTGCTGCAGGATTTTTTTTTATACTGTACACACTGACCACATAGACCCATTCTTTCATATGTAGGCCTACCAGCTTTCTCTCACTAGATTTGAAGGTGCTAGAATTTACGCGTACTAGTACGTCAACCCTGGTGCGTAAGACGTACTAGTACGTCAGAAACCCTGAAAGGGTTAATCCCATCTGTCCCAGCTGCTCTACTCATGTTCATTCTACCTATATCCCCATGCACTTTCCTTACATTCACCTCTGGCTCTTCCTTACTCTTGCCCAATGCATGAAAACACTGCTTCCCTTACAGTATCAACATTTCAACACTCCTCAAAATATTCTGTCCATCTTTTAAGTATGGTAACTCCAGGTGATTAGTCCATTTGCTTTCCCAGGCTTTCTCAACTCATTAATCTCTCTCTCTCTCCAAAAGTGTTTTAGGAAAACTTATAGACTTAACCATCCTCTAATCAACTCTACTTTTGCATTCCCTTGCCACCTACTCAACCTCTCTCTTTTTTCTATTTCTCTCCACATACTTTGCCCTATAATTTTTAACACACTGGCTGTCTCCTACCGAGGCAGGTGACCCCAAAAAAGAAGAAAAATATAAAGTTTATCTTCTTTTTACACTGACTTGGAATTATCATCACAATAAAATGCTAAACCCATACGAGGTCATTCACTGCTGCACCGAAAAGTATTGAAACTATTATAAGAACATAAGAAAGAAGGGACACTGCATTATAATATCTCTTTTTAATAGTTGTGCCATACTGAAGTTCAATTTTTAAATTTCAAGGCATCAAAAATAATTTAAAGTTTTTTTTTTATAAGAGCTTCAAGCTCACTTGTAAGACACATCATTACATAAAGTGTTTTGGGATATTTACTGATTGTACTATGAAAATGATGAAAATATGTATGAATATGTTAGTATATGTTTATAAAAATCTCTACAATGTGAGCTAGATACGAAGAACCTGTACATTAAAAAAAGTAACAAAAATATTGACTGCAATTAAACTACTTTGAAAGGGAAATAAATTCTAAGAGCTTTTGTGATCTTTCAGTCACATTCTCAAGCAACAGTGCAAAGAATACTGGAAGAGATGCTAAGAATACTGGAAGAGATGCTAAGAATACTAAAAGAGATGCTAAGAATACTGGAAATGATGTACAATTTTACAGATAAAGGCTGTGAGGCTTAACAATATAAATGAGAACCAATTTAGACTTAATCTGTTCTTGTTTGTTTGCAAGTGTGATATGTAGCTCAGCATATCTTCCATGTAGATTTACATATTTCTTTTTTTTTTTTACACAATGGCTGTCTCCAGGGTAGAATGACCTATAAAAAGGTAACATTCACCACCATTCATTCAATAGTAGTCTTGCCAGATTGCACAGATATCACAATTCAAATGATCCTTCGAACTGGAACATCCTCACCCCTTCGCCAGAGTACAGGCACTGTATGTCCCACCTCCATGCCACAAGTAAGGCTGACTAGTTTCCTTGAATCCCACTGTAAATGTTATAACCCCACACTGTCTTCTGATTTCTAAGCTCTAAATTCTCTACAAAATATTTGCACCACATATTACTCTCAGAGATGATATCTCTGCTGCTTCCAACCTACTTCTCACCAAAGTGCTCAAAATCCATGCCTCACACCCATATAAATGAACTGATATTACTATGCTCCAGTACATTCCTTTTCTTTATTTTTTTTTATCTCCCTAAACTTCTTTCTCTCCATATATGTCTCAATACTCAATATATCTTGTTTTTCTTCATTTATTTAATGGTTCACTTCGGTTTTCACTCACAAATTTTTTTTTCAACACATCGGCTATCTCCACCGAGGCAGGTGACGCAAAAGAGACACACTTTCACCATCATTCACACACAATCACTGTCTTTGTAGAGGTACTCAGATACAACAGTTTAGATGTCCCTCCAAACAGCCAATACCCCAAACCCCTCCTTTAAAGTGTAGGCATTGTACTTACCACCTCCAGGACTCAATGGTAAATACACTCCATACTCCCTCCTTGCAATCTAATAGTATTCGGTTTTTCATTACCCAAACATATTTTATTCTTGTCATTTTGATCTTTCCCAAGTTCACTTTTAATTTCCTTCTTTTATGTACCCTCCCAGACTCATTCATCAACCTTCACAATTTCTCTTCAGACTCTCAAGATAACTGTCATCAGCAAGGAGCAACTGTGATAACTCTCACTTTGTATCAGACTCATTATCTTTTAGTCCCACACAACTTCCAACACCCTAGCATTCACTTCTTTTACAATGCCATCTATAAATATGATTAACAGTCAAGGTGACATCATTCATCCCTGCCTAAGGCCAGCTTTCACTAGAAAATGGATCCCTTCTTTTCTACATACATTAACCTGAGCCTTGCTATCCTCCTAGAAATTCTCTGCTGCTTTCAAAAACATACCACCTATTCCACACATTTGCACCATTTCTCCCCTATCTATTCTATAAATTAAAATTATGAGGAACTGAACAGTTTACTATAAACATTTTTGTCATGCAAAGTTTTCTCTGATTCCATTTTTGCTAATCGAGAAAGTAACTTCCGACAACCAGGTGTTACACTGGCATCCAGCTTGGCAGCCTTCTCCAAGTCTTTCTGAGCTTCGGCTGGACTGAAGACCTCGACATAAGCTCGCCCACGCCGATACAGCGCTTTCACATTATCTGAGCAGCAAGAATAAATCAAGAACTACAGTATATTACAAATTTTATTTTAATACTGAGTTCTAGTCTGTTATTCTTTCTTTGAATCTACTAATTTTTTAGGTTATGCTCTTGATCATAACCCCAAAAATTAGATAATGATAATTTACCATTGTATGTCTCTTAAGATAATTTTAGTATATTACATAAAAGAAAAATATTATTCAGAGTCTCCTGTAGGTTCATAATGTCAATGTGCTCCAGTTTGAAAGTACTATACTGTGCTTGATAATATTTGTAAATCTGTCATTAAGATATCAACTGAAAGCTTTAACTCTCACCTTACAATGAATTGGAAACAAAGCATACTGTGTTACATCATTCTTCTAGAGGTAAGAGGGAGAGGGCACAATAATGATGGTGATGGATACTTGATATAAGAAACAGGAGCTATCCTCCCCTTTCTCAGATCAAACCTGGTCATCCCTCACCTTTCATTCCCAAAGTGCTATTTAATCCTTATGGGTTTAGTGCCTCCTGATGGATATAGATACATATGTACACCAAATCTAAAAAGAAACTAGAGGAGTTGTGGTCACTGAGCAACCCTAAAAAGTACCCCTGTGTTCCATAAGCCCAGCTCCCTCTACCTCAATGTATGTAAAAGGAGAAGTACAGAGGGTGGTATAAGTTTCTAATATAGTTACAAATCACTGAAAATCTGAAGCCAATTGGAAGAGGCATTCAAAAGACAGCCCAAGGAAACTAAAATCCCAATTTCTCCTAAACAGCAAATTGGCACCTACACTGCCCACCACCAGATGTGTCAGCTTTAAAAGTTTAAAGCAATCAAAAAAAGTTTTCTCTACTTATTGCAGGAAGCCCAATATTCCAAAATACACCAGCATTTTAAGTATAAAGTTACTCACAAGTTTCATTCTGCAGTTACTGATGCTGAAGATTTGAAGCTGGTCAAATGATGCATTCACAAAACATGGCACTATAACTAATATTTCAACTTTTCCAAACTGGTACCATAGAGTCCTCAACCAATCCAAACCTTTCTCTAAGATACACCAGCATTCAAGGTTTGAAGCCGATCAGAAGACGCATTCTTCAGTTATTACGCATAAAAAAACTTGTTTAATAAAAAAAGCAAACCTAAACTTACACAATCCATAATCACCTAAACTTACACAATCCATAATCAATGTGAAGATTCCTTTAATTAAGGAAATACATCAGTGCTAAAAGTTTGAAGCTAACTATTAAACAAAATCTAATAATTCCAAGTTTATTAACTATGACAAAATCATAATACAATTTATTAGCTATGTTAATAAAGTAGCAAAATTGCACCTAAAACAGACTAAACCTAAAAGGAATCATCCTTTCTGTATACATTAGCCATTAAAGAGTAAAGCTGTTGAGGAATGGCTTCATAAAACTGACAACAGAGCACCTGACCATCCCAGTAGTTCCATGAGCCATGCCCTAGTTATGGCTCACCAGTATTGAAAGTTTGAAGGTGATCAGAAGAGGCATTCTCAGGTTATAAATGAAAACCTTGGAGAAACAAAAGAGCACTGTATGAAAATATGATATTTAAAGGCTTACTAAACTTTTGAAACTTTCAAATGCCCTAAAAGTACAGGGCTACAGTATTTCAAATCTCTACAATCCTATGAGCAAAAAAAAAAAAAAAAAAATTTTTTTCAAGAATCTGGAATTTACACATGTTTTTGCCTCATGAATTTACTAACGTTTATCACTAAGGTATTCGAGAGGTTAGAGTACAATACAGAATACAATATAGTGTACATGGAGTTCAACAACACCAACAGTCTTCACATCATGTCCTTGAATTGTATTGATAAAGCCACTGGATATCAAAATGTCTACAAATAAAGATACCCAGATGTTGCGTGTGTGTCAAATTCATCACCCTGAACAAAGTTCAATAGTGGAAACTGATAAGGATAGTAATGATACGTTATACAGGGGAAATTATTTCTTGGGTTGAGGCATGAATGACAAATAGGCAACAGAGAGTTTCCATAGGGTGGAAGAAATGAGAATGGGAATCTGCTACAAGTGACATGCCATGGGAATCAGTAATTGGACCGTTGTTATTCACAATCTACATTAATGATACAGATGAGGGGAAAATAAGAGCGACATAAGTTTGCAACAGTAAAAATGTCCATCAAATAATTTATGATGAGGACATTAGTAAGCTAAAGGTTGATGTGGATACCTGGAGAAGGTTTCAGGGGTCAATGCCCCAGTAGCCTGGTCTGAGACCAGGCCTTGTGGTGGATCAGGGCCTGATCAACCAAGCTGTTACTGCTGGCTGCACGTAAACCAACGTATGAGCCACAGCCCAGCTGATCAGGAGAGTGTGTTGCTGTCAGAGAAGTGGCAGATGCATTTCAGTGAGGAAATGTGTAAGGCTCTAATCCTAGGAAAAGAAAATAAGTATGGTACCTCTAAGGTAAACAATGTGGATCTTAGTTAAAATGAATGCAAAAGAAAAAAAAATAGAATTAGGAGCTCTGGCTAGCAGAAATTTATAGCCAAAACAACAGTGTATAAGTGATCACAGTTTTTCTTTGGAAATGCCTCATTAATATTATGCTGCTCAGTTCTGGTCTTCATATTACAGAATGAACATAAATGCTCTGGAAAATTTACAGAGAAGGATGAAGAAGTTGATCCCATGTATTACAAAACCTTTCCTACTAAGATAGGCCAAAGGGACTGAATATGCATTCTCTAGAAAGATGTGCAATCAGAGAAGATATGGCTGAAATGTGCAAATATAAAATAGAAATAAATAAAAGGGACGTAAATAACACACTGGAACTATCTAACCAAGAAAGGACTTGCAACAAAGGATTGAAGTTGGACAAATTTAGATTTAGGCAATACTTTCTCATCTACAATTCTTTTTGGCAACAGAATTTTGTATAGGAGGAAGCAACTACCAGATAGCATTACTGAAGTGAGAATTTGGGAAGCTTAAAATGCTGTATAGGTTACACAAGTATATTAGTGGGTGTGACTGGGTGTTAATTGGACCCATTCCTTTATTTTGGACAAATACTTACATAAGCAGATCAAAATTTCATGTCCAGAGACACTAAGTTAATTTCCACTGAAGATAAGCTATGCTCTTTTCAGTCATAAATGATTACCATAAAACTCGAGAAATATTCATCAATACTTACCTGGATCTTTTTCTAAGACAGTGGTACAGTGTTCTATAACTGAGTAGTATTCTCCTTGTAGGAGCTGACACTGTGAGTAGTTCAGAAGTAGAGGCATCTTCATCTCATTAAGCTTCAGCCATTCTTCATCACCAGGTTTCTCTCTGTAGATATTCTTAATCTATCAGTAAAAATGACTCATGTGTAAGGCAGCATTTATTTTAACACATGTAATGCCGATACCAGGTATATAAAGCAATTGGTGTATTTATATAAACTATCTAAACACTGATGTCTCTGCAGAATGTGGTTTCATGAACAAGCTTCTCCACACAATTTTACATTCCTGGAATGTATATATTTACTGTGTTTTTGTGGTACCTTACTATTTACACATACATATTTTAACACCAAAACCTATTTTATTTTGTCCAGCACATGACACCAAATGATTGCTAAAGCTATCAAGAACAGTGGCCATTTTTTAACTATTAATGAAGAAAATGCTTTAGCAACTTTCTCTGATTTCATTCACAGACAAGTATAGCCACCTATGTACATCACCGTCAGGTCTACTATAGTCCAGTGAAGCCAAAGTAACTCAAAGATCAAAGTAAATTTATAGTAACAGACAAATAAACAGGCACTGACAAACAAAACGAAGCATTTTAAGTTATCGATAAGATGATTTTGTGTTAAATTCAGTATTCATAATCAGTGCAGTCACACTTATGTTCTTTGTTGCCATGACAACTACCATACCTTAACATGAGTTGTTCAAGTCTGCCAAGAGCCTCGGAATATGCTTTACCGGCAACTTCATGGTTCCCCTCCTTATAGAAAACATTGCCTTGCTCCTTGAGAACTGGGATGCTCTCCAGCCGCTCACTCTCAGTCATCGCCCAAAACTCCTTTTCATATGATCCTGCTCCTGCCACCTTTATTAATTCTGAAGAGACAAGTGATAAATGCAATAAAATAGCAAAATAAAATACTGTATAAAAGAATGAAAAATATAAACAAAATAATATCCAAGTACTGTACATTATAAAATTCATGATAATAATGTTAAGGAAGTGTACATATGACTGACTATCTAACATTGTGCTCTGTAGGTTTACTTAAAGAGTATTGAATGTTAATTATGGTATTTGATACAATACTCAGTTCATCTCATACATAATTTAGTTTACTCTTTCCACAAATAAGTAAAAACAGTTTTTAAAAATCTATATACCAGTAAGTATGATGAGGAAAATTTAAAGCACAACAAATTTGTGCATGCTATACACATTTAAATAAAATATTGTATTACTGTGAGTGACAGTACTAGCACATAAAATTGATCTACTTATTCATCTATACGCATATTTTACAAGCATGTCTATGGTATTATATTGCACTGTATTAAGATTTACTTACCAATTGTGAATTTCAAATCCTTAGGTGTCTTAACTAGTTCATCCAAATCTTGGTAACCAAGTCCCTCTTTAAATCCCATCCCACAACAGTGATGAGGCTTCTTTTCTTTATCAACTTTGGTCTTCCCATATGCTTCCCGTAAGGTCTTGGATACTAATGGATATGGTGCCAGTAACTAAAATTTACAAAATAATTTTAATACGAATTATTTCAAATAATTACATTTGATTTCCAAGTAGTTTTTATGAGTCACAATTTATTTTTAATTCAAATGCTCAAGGCTGTAAATAATAAAAAGGCATAATACCATGACTGGAACAACACACAATATAATCATAATTATAAATGGTAAATGGTTAAGCATAAGACTTATGGAAATACTGAACTATATTCCAGTACAAATGCTGAATAATGAGGGAGATGTAGCTTCCATCTTTCAGTTCCTACAATGTACTAATAGTAAGCTGAGACTCACAAACAGCTTTATTAACAGTCTGTTGTAGGTCCTCCACATAAGAACATAAGAACATAAGAAAGGAGGAACGCTGCAGGAGGCCTGCTGGCCCATACTAGGCAGGTCCTTTACAATTCATCCCACTAACAAAACATTTGCCCAACCCAATTTTCAATGCCACCCAAGAAATAAGCTCTGATGTGAAAGTCCCACTCAAATCCAACCCCTCCCACTCATGTACTTATCCAACCTAGATTTGAAACTACCCAAAGTCCCAGCCTCAATAACCCAACTAGGTAGACTGTTCCACTCATCAACTACCCTATTTCCAAACCAATACTTTCCTATGTCCTTTCTAAATCTAAACTTATCTAATTTAAATCCATTACTGCGGGTTCTCTCTGGAGAGACATCCTCAAGACCTTATTAATATCCCTTTATTAATACCTAGCTTCCACTTATACACTTCGATCAGGTCTCCCCTCATTTCTTCGTCTAACAAGTGAATGTAACTTAAGAGTCTTCAATCTTTCTTCATAAGGAAGATTTCTAATGCTATGCATTAATTTAGTCATCCTACGCTGAATGTTTTCTAACGAATTTATGTCCATTTTGTAATACGGAGCCAGAAATGAGCTGCATAATCTAGGTGAGGCCTTACTAATGATGTATAAAAGCTGCAGTAGACCTCTGGACTTCTGTTGCTTACACTTCTTGATATAAATCCCAGTAATCTATTTGCCTTATTACGTACGCTTAGGCATTGCTGTCTTGGTTTAAGGTTGCTGCTCACCATAACCCCCAAGTCCTTTTCGCAATCTGTATGGCTAAGTTCTACATCATTTAACTTATAAGTACTAGGGTTATGGGCACTCGCAAGCTTCAGAACCTTGCATTTATCTACATTGAACTGCATCTGCCACTTTTCTGACCAAGAATAGAGTTTGTTTAAATCCTCCTGAAGTTCCATAACATCTACGTTTGAATCAATTATCCTACCTATCTTTGTGTCATTGGCGAATTTGCTCATATCACTAGTAATTCCCTCATCAAGATCATTGATATATATTATAAACAACAACGGGCCCAAGACTGATCCCTGTGGAACGCCACTTGTCACAGATCCCCACTCGGACTTAACCCCATTTATGGACACTCTCTGCTTCCTGTCAGTGAGCCATGACTTGATCCACGAGAGCACTTTTCCCCCAATGCCATGAGCTGCCACTTTCTTTAACAGTCTATGGTGCGGAACTCTATCAAAAGCCTTACTAAAATCTAAGTAAATAATATCAAATTCTTTATTGTGGTCAACAGCCTCAAAAGCTTTACTGAAGAAAGTTAATAAATTAGTTAGACAAGACCGGCCTCTTGTGAATCCATGCTGAGTATCATTAATCAAGCTATGCTTATCGAGATGGCTTCTTATAATCTCAGCTATAATTGACTCTAGTAATTTGCCTACAATTGAGGTCAGGCTTATTGGGCGGTAATTTGACGGTAACGACTTGTCCCCTGTTTTAAAAATAGGAATTACATTAGCCATCTTCCACATATCAGACACTACACCTGTTTGAAGAGATAAATTAAAAATATTAGTTAATGGTTCACAGAGTTCCATTTTGCATTCCTTAAGAACCCTTGAAAAAACCTCTGAGTAGAAAAACTGCTTTTGGTAGGGAAAACACCTGAGTCTGACCTTAAAACAATAATGTAACTGTAGCAAGACACTCTTAGTCTTTTTCCTTTTAGTGTTCGGTCATCAGGATATTGAAAGGATATGAATGTACTTCTACTATGTTATGGAATGACCTGTTCTAGGATCATTTTACTCTTGTGACTTTTGTTGCATCTTTGACAGTTTTTTTATGAATTTTTGAAAGTGAGCCCAGACAGTCATTATTCCTACTTATGAGCAAGTGTGAATGATTGGGAAACACTTTTTTTTTTTTACTAACACATCAGCCATTTCTCACCAAGGCAAGGTGACCCGAAAAAGAAGAAACACTTTCATCATCATTCGCTCCACTGTCTTGCCAGAGGCACGCCTACACTACATAAATAGTTAGCAAAAAATATGAAACTCACTGATTTATCAATTATAAATGAAGACACTTCTCCTGGTAACATTGTGCGAATGCATGCTTCCAACACTTCTAACTTGAATTTCTTTCCAAAGAGAAGTTCCACGGGTTTGGTCCATTTATGACTGTCATCAATAACATGTGGCTCTTCTTCACAGGTTTCCGTTCTGATGTGGAATATAACCTGGGTTAGAAAAATGCAATATTAGTCATTCACACTATGAATACAATTTCCTATCCAGAACTTTGTTTTAACAGTTCATATACATGTAAAAGGAACAATACACATATGGGCATACAGAAGATTTTTCTAATTAACAAATGTTCATGGTCTATACGTATTTGTAAAATTAAATAATAGTAAATAAAATATTATTTTTATTATTATAGAAATGCAAAACATGTAAGAGCCATTCTGAGGTGAGAGAGATGGTTGGAGGTAGGGAGAAGAGTTGATGCTGAGGGAATGACAGTGGTATGCAGGACACAAGGCAAAGACATAATTTATCACCAAACAAAGAACATGCTCACATTTTGTTACCTTACGAGTACTTTGTTCAAGTCTTCAGTATGGATTTAGTGAAACATATTGCGTTCCAGATCAACCTCTATGCATGCCACAGAGATGTCTTTACGTAATTTTCAACTAAGTTTTGTGAGCTATCTAATTTATGGTTATGTGAAGTCTCTCAACATATGACTATTAGGCCAACATTAGCAGGATTCCTTAATCTGATAAAGTCATGGTGCTGAAGAGTTAAGATAGACAGGCAATCCATTGAGTAAAGGACAATATCTTTGTAATGTACACCAGAGAAAATGTGGAGATTATTGTCTATTGACTATGCTTTGGTGACAAAAAATATTGGTGACAAAAAATAAGTATTAATAAAGCAAAACTACAAAAGTTTTTATTAAATTTGAAAGCAAGTTACTGTTTATAACCTAATGATTACTGTACATTCATTTGGAAGCAACAAACCTGTATGGATCATACAGCACTAGACGAATGAGAGGTAATCAGATTTTGTTCAAGTTTTACCTGAAATGCTGTGGATCTTGTAGGCTTTCTGATTACTGTATAGTAATTTGTACTACAGTGATTAGAAATAAAGAATCTGAATTTTACTCTAAAGATAATTTAAATCCATTTGATCAAAAGTCTTGTGAAAAACTCTGTTCCACAAGGCACAGTACTCACTCCCATCTTGTTTCTCATCCTCATATCTGACATAGACAAGGATGTCAGCCACAGCACCGTGTCTTCCTTTGCAGATGACACCCGAATCTGCATGACAGTGTCTTCCATTGCAGACACTGCAAGGCTCCAGGCAGACATCAATCAAATCTTTCAGTGGGCTGCAGAAAACAATATGAAGTTCAACGATGAGAAATTTTCAATTACTCCGTTATGGTAAACATGAGGAAATTAAAACTTTATCAGGGTACAAAACAAATTCCTTCCACAAAATAGAGCGAAAAACCAATGTCAAAGACATGGGAGTGATCATGTCGGAGGATCTCACCTTCAAGGACCATAACATTGTATCAATCGCATCTGCTAGAAAACTGACAGGATGGATAATGAGAACCTTCAAAACTAGGGGTGCCAAACCCATGATGACACTCTTCAGGTCACTTGTTCTATCTAGGCTGGAATATTGCTGCACACTAACAGCACCTTTCAAGGCAGGTGAAATTGCTGACCTAGAAAATGTACAGAGAACCTTCACAGCGCGCATAACGGAGATAAAACACCTCAATTACTGGGAGCGCTTGAAGTTCCTGAACCTGTACTACCCTAAATGCAGGCAGGAGAGATACATGATTATATACACCTGGAAAATCCTAGAGGGACTAGTACCGAACTTGCACACGAAAATCCCTAGTTTTGAAGGTTCTCATTATGAATCCTATCATTTTCCTAGATGTGGTAGATACATTGTTGTGGTCTTCGAAGGCGAGATCCTCGATATTATCACTCCCAGGTCCTTCACATTACTTTTTTGCTCTGTTGTATGGTTAGAATTTGTTGTATACCTTGACACAGTTTTAGTTTCTTCAAGTTTTCCATATCTGAGTAGTTGAAATTTCTCTTCATTGAACTTCATATTGTTTTGAGTGGCCTATTTCAAGATTTGGTTGATGTCCGCTTGGAGTCTTGTGGTGTTTTTGATGGAGGTCACTGTCATGGCGATTCAGGTTTCATTCACAAAGGAAGACATGGAGCTATGGCTTAAATCTCTGTTTATGTCTGATATGAGGATGAGGAATAGAATGGGAGCAAAGTACTGTGCCTTGTGGAACAGAGCTTTTCACCGTAGCCGCCTCAGACTTTACTCTGTTTACCATTACTCTTTGTGTTCTATTTGTCAGGAAGTTATAGATCATTCAAGATTCAAGATTCCTTTATTTCCTTGCAAGTTTACAATGTGGTTGACGTATCATATGGTAACATTATAGTAACATACCATGCAGAAATTGTGAACAAGTGATACAAGATGCAAAATAATCATTGGGAAGTTGAATGATAGCTCTAGGTCTTTTGTATTGCAATCAACACATCATCAAGTGTTTGCAATGTTGCAGAAAAGAGGATAAAGTCTCAACAAACAAGGTCAGAGCAAAAATGCTCCCTCTGACCATATTTGCTGGGACTTCCTCCTCTTTTCTGCAACACTGCAAGCTCCTGATGATATGATGACTGCAACACGAAAGGCCTAGAGCTGTAATTCACTTACCCTCCGTAGTTGCTTTGGATAAATTACCCACCAGGATAACACAAAAAAAGTCAAAGTGATTTATTTCGACTGGGGTCCTTGATGAACATCAATATTATATAATTCCTTTTTAATTTACCAAGTGTCATTGACAACAGTGATACTGTGACTGTAGTGAATTACATAAGTTGTATTAATACGTCTAGTTTTAAGAAGTATGATTAGTCATGTCATTACTTTGACCGAAATACATTGCATAACATTTTTTATGCCTAGTTTTGTATCCAATTATTTATATTTACTGCAAACTTCACAAGGCTCGTCAGCCATGAAAATAAAAGTTAATTTGAATTTAATTTTTTTATCAAATTTTTAATTTACATTTTTTAAGTCATAAATAAGTATGTGGGTTTGTTTTGTTACAGGTGTCCATAAATACAATTATCACACATAGTGTAAATTACCCAGAATAAACCCAAAAAAGTCAAAGTGACTTATTTCCGTGAACTATTTTTACCTTCGTTCCATCAGTGTAGTCAGCATTGCCCTTCCCCTGGTATATAATTTTCTTCTCAATGAGCTTATCATCCATATTTTCACAATTATTGTTGCTGACAATAGTCCAGGAGTGACACAAACGTAGTTATAAGTCTCTGCTGAGTGAAAATTGTTGTTGTTGTTGTTGTCGTTGGGTTTATAGGGTCACTGACAGCTGGCGCCGTATCGAACCCCGCCTTCCAGTGTCCGGAGAAGAAACCTAGGATAAGATAAGATTTCGTTGGGATTTTTAACCCCGGAGGGTTAGCCACCCAGGATAACCCAAGAAAGTCAGTGCGTCATCGAGGCCTGTCTAACTTATTTCCATTGTGGTCCTCAATTTTGTCCCCCAGGATGCCACCCACACCAGTCGACTAACACCCAGGTACCTATTTGCTGCTAGGTGAACAGGACAACAGGTGTAAGGAAGCGCGTTGAAATGTTTCCACCCGCCGGGAAACGAACCCGGGCCGGAGGGTCGGGTAAACTACTAGCACTGGCGGTACATGTAGCTGTGGGTGTACAGTAAACTACTAGCTCAGGCGGTACATGTAGCTGTGGGTGTACAGTAAACTACTAGCTCAGGCGGTACATGTAGCTGTGGGTGTACAGTAAACTACTAGCACAGGCGGTACATGTAGCTGTGGGTGTACAGTAAACTACTAGCTCAGGCGGTACATGTAGCTGGGGGGGGTGTACGAAAAACTACTAGCTTTGGGCGGTACAAGTGGGCTGGGGTGTACAGTAAATACTAGCTGGTGGAAATTGTGCTGTGGGTGTACAGAAAACTACTGGGCATTGGCGGTACATGTAGCTGGGGTGTAAGTAAACTATACCCATTGGGGTACATGACCCTGGGGTGTAAAAAAAAAACTACTAGCAGGCGGTACATGTGGGGCTGTGGGTGTACAGAAAACCCACTAGAAAGGGGGTACATGTAGCTGGGGGGTGAAGAAAAAATACAGCTTGGCGGTAAAATGAAAACTGTGGGTGTACATTTTAAAAACTAGCCAGCGGTACATGTAGCTGGGGGTACAGTAAATTACTACCCAGGCGGTACATGAAAAAAATGGGGGTTTTACAGAAAATTACTAGCTCGGCGGTAAAATGTGGGTGTGGGTGTCATAAATACTACTCAGGCGGAAATTTCCCTGTGGGTGTCCCGAAAAACTACAAACTCAACGTTTTAAAAATTAAAATTTTTTAATTAAATATACCCCCCCCCCCCCCCCTTTTTCCCTTATTTTTTTTTAAACCCCCCCCCCCTCCCCCCAAAATTTTTTTTTTTGGGGGGTGTACAAAAATTTACAAGCTCAGGCGGTACTTGTACCTGTGAGTGTACAGTAAATTTCAAAGAAACAGGCGGACAGGGAACTGTGGGTGTACAGTAAACTACTAGCACAGGGGGTTACATGTACCGGGTTGAGTGTCAGTAAACTACTAGCAAGGCGGTACATGTAGCTGTGGGGGGGTACAGTAAATTACTAGCTCAGGGGGGACTTGTAGCGCAGGTGTACAGTAAAACTACTAGCATTGGCGGTACATGTAGCTGTGGGTGTACAGAAAACTATGGGCATTGGGGGTTTACATGTAGCTGTGGGTGTACAGTAAATTTTACTAGCTCAGGCGGTACTTTTAGCTGGGGTGTACAAAAACAACTAGCCAGGTGGACATGTAGCTGTGGGTGTACAGAAAACCCTACTACCCATTGGCGGTACTGAAATGTGGGTGTACAGTAAACTACTAGCACAGGCGGTCATTCCCTGTGGGGGGTACAGAAAACCTAGCACGGTTTGGAAATGTACCTGTGGGGGTACATTTAAAATACTAGCACAGGGGGGTACATTACTGTGGGTGTACGTAAACTACTAGCCCAGGGGGGTACATGTACCTGTGGGTGTACAGAAAAACTACTAGCACAGGTGGTACATGAAAACCTGTGGGTGTACAAAAAACTACTAGCCAGGCGGTAATGTACTCGGGTGTACAGAAAAACACTAGCTTTGGCGGTACATGTAGCTGTGGGTGTACAGTAAATTTACAAAGAAATTGGGGGTACTTTGTAGCTGTGGGTGTACAGTAAATACTAGCTAGGCGGTACATGAAAACTGGGGGTACAGTAAACTTTTGTCGGGCTGAAAATTTGTAACGGGTGGGTGTACGGGAAAACTACTAGCAAGGCTGTACATGAAAACGGGGGTTTGAAAGTAAACTACATTTTTGGGCGGTACATGTAGTGGGGGGTGTACAGTAAACTACTAGCTCGGGGTCATTTAGTTGGGGGGTACAGAAAACTACTAAAACAGGGGGTCCCTTAGCTGTGGGTGTACAGTAAATACTGGGCACAGGTGAAACATGAAAAATGGGGGGTGTAAAAGTAAACTCCTCACGGCTGACATGTAACTGTGGGTGTAAGTAAACTACTAGCATTGGCGGTAAAAGTAGTGTGGGGTACAGTAAACCCCTGCACGGGGCTGTCATGTAACTGTGGGTGTACAGTAAACTAAAACCCCGGGCCCGGTACATGTACCGTGGGGTACAGTAAACTACTGGGCACGGTTTTTTTATACATGTAGCTGTGGGTGAAAAAGAAAAACTACTCCACAGGCGTCCCTTTTAATTTGGGGGTTTGGTACAGTAAACTACTAGCAAGGGGGGTACATGAAATGTGGGTTTTCAGAAAAACTACTAGCACAGGCGGTACATTTTACCTGGGGGGTGTCGTAAACTACTAGCAAGGGGTACATTTTCCCTGGGGGGTGTACAGTAAACTATAGCCCAGGGGGTTACATGTACTGGGGTGTCCCAGTAAACTACAGCATTGGCGGTACATGTAGCGTGGGTTACAGTAAACTACTAGCTCAGGTGGTACATGTACTGGGGGTTTGAAACAGTAAACTCCTAGCATTGGGGGTTTCATTTAGCTGGGGGTGTCAGAAAACTACTACCCACAGGTGGTACATGTACCGGGTGGGTGTACAGAAACTACTAAAGGCGGAAAATGTAGCTGTGGGGTACGTAAACTACTAGCTCGGGGGTTTCCCTTAGCTGTGGGTGTACATAAAACTACAAAGCTCAGGGGGTCCAAAGTAGCTGGGGTGAAACAGAAAAACAAATACCCTCGGCTGTACAGTAGCTGTGGGGGCAGAAAAACTACTAGCATTGGGGGTACATGTGTGTGGGTGTCAGTAAAATACTAGCCAGGCGGAAGGGTACTGGGGGGTGTCCCGTAAACACTAGCATTGGCGGAAACAGGGAAGCTGTGGGTGACAGTAAACTATTTAGCTTTGGGCGTACATGTGCTGTGGATGTACAGTAAACATAGCTTTTGGCGGTACATGAAAGTGGGGGTGTAAGTAAATACTACCCAGGGGTACATGTGCTGTGGGTTACAGTAAAATACTAGCATTGGGGGTAAAAATGTAGCTTTTGGGTGTACAGTAAACTTTTAGTTGGGGGTACATGAAACTGTGGGTGTACAGAAAACCCTACTAGCTCAGGGGTACATGTAGCTGTGGGTGTACAGTAAACAAAAAAACAGCTCGGGCCCGGTACAGGGTACTGTGGGTGTACAGAAAAACTACTACTCAGGTTTTACATGTAACTGGGGTGTACAGAAAAACTACTGGGTCAGGTGTCATGAAACTGGGGTTTTACAGTAAACTACAGCAAAGGGCCCCGTACATGTAATGTGGGTGTACAGAAAACTACTAGCTAGGGGGAAATGGAACTGTGGGTGTACAGTAAACTATACCCTCAGGCTGAACAGAAAACTTGGGTGTAAAAGAAAACCTACAAACCCTCAGGTGTCATGAAACCCTGTGGGGTCCCGTAAACTACTATTTCAGGTGTACATTTTAACGGGGGGGTTTACAGTAAACTACTACCCTCAGGCTGTACTTTAACTTTTTTTGTACAGTAAACTACTAGCTCGGGGCTGTACATGAAATGTGGGTGTTAGTAAACTACTAGCTCGGGTGTACAAAAAAACTGTGGGGTGTACAGTAAAACTCCTAGCCAGGCTTAAAAATGAAACCTGGGGGTGTACAGTAAACTACTAGCTCAGGCTGAAACATGTAAACTGGGGGGTGTACAGTAAACTACTAGTCGGGCTTTTAATGTAACTGTGGGGGGTACAGTAAACTACTAGCTCAGGCTGTACTGTAACGGGTGGGTGTACAGTAAAAAACTAGTTCAGGCTGAAACATGTAACTGTGGGTGTACAGAAAACTACTATTTTCAGGTTTTTAACATGTAATTTGGGGGTGTACAGTAAATACTAGCTCAGGCTGTACAGAAAACTGTGGGTGTACAGAAAACCTACTAGCTCAGGCTTTTAAGAAACTGGGGGTGAACAGTAAACAAATAGCTCAGGAGGGTACATGAAACTGGGGTGTCCCGAAAAACACTAGCTCAGGTTTGTACATTTTAACTGGGGGGTGTACAGAAAAAACTATTTAACTCAGGCTGTACATGAAAACGGGTTGGTGAACGGGTAAACAAACTACTCAGGCTGCCCATGTAGGGGTGGGTGAACAGAAAAACTACTAGCTCAGGCTGTACATGTAACTGGGGGTGAAAACATTTAAACCCTCCCTGTCGGGGCTGACGTGTAATGTGGGTGTACAGTAAACAAACTAGCTCAGGGTACATGTAACTGTGGGTGTCCCATTTAAAACTACAGCTCGGGCCTTGTACTGAAAACTGTGGGTGTAAGAAACTACTACCCGGGCTGTACAGGGAACTGTGGGGTTACATTTAAAATACTAGCTCGGCGGGTAATTTTAAGCTGTGGGTTTACAGTAAACTACTAGCTTTTGGGGGTAATGTAGCTGTGGGTGTCCCAGTAAATACTAGATTGGGGGGGAACATGTGTTTGTGGGTGTACATTTAAACTACTAGCTCATGGGGTACAAAAAGTTGGGAAGATAAAGACTTTTTACAATCAGAAACCCGCAATGGGAAAAAAAATTTCCCTTAACTGATGCAGGTAACCTGTCCCCAGCGTACATAGGTGGATTACCAATAAAACCCGGTCTCTTAAAGCCCCCGGGCTATCTTAAAAGACCCCTGGCTATCTTAAAGACCCCGGCTCTTTTTAAAGCCCGGGTTTATCTTCAAAAACCCCTGGCTCTCTTAAAAACCCCC